GTCACCTAATGTAATCAGTTTGTTTACATCAGAGGAAACTGAGGCTTGAGGAAGTTAAAAGCCTGTCCTTATAGTGTGGGTGAATACTAGGGCCACAACCAGAACGTGGCTTTTGATTTCCCCTGAAGTGCAATTCTTATGCTATTCCAATTTCTTATCTGTGTGGAGTTTTACAATTACTTTTGGTGTTGGTTTGGTAACCAGATATTTTTCCTCAGAAACGTCAATTAGTATTTATAATGTATAGAAAAGTATTATATGTAAACAGCTCTAAGTTTTTTTTATTGCATCATCTCAATATCTATCAGTAATCCACGCTTACCAGGTAGACTAAATTTGTGGGCCTTCTTGTTGATACTACCCTTGTCCAAAATTGATTTTTCTTTTTTAAATTCTGGAATAAATAAGGTATTTAATAAATTCATTTAACCCTTAGAGAATCTGTGAGAATGTAAATATAATTGAAAATTAAAACGTTTGTTCTAAATCTTAAAGACTTTTAATCAGCATATCTGAAATTATGGCGTGAGAAAAATGTAGTATTTATGACATCATAGATCTCAGGATCTATGTAAATGATGCCATTACTGCCTAGATAAAATCTGAATTTTGTATAAGAAAGACCATGTAGAGAGACAAATTGTGTTAAATGGTATAATTGAAATTTTACTTCTTTCTTATTTTCCCCCCCAAGTTAGCATTAGATCTGTATTCAAAATATTTCCTGATTAAAAAGTCTGCTATATATCTTCCTTTGTTGAAGCTCTAAATTATTAAGGAAATCCAAGTAACCTTGCATATCACTCTATGTTATTTAAAAAAATAATAAAAGGAGTGGATTCTGTTGATCCATTCATGAAGCTTTGTCCCAACATAAGGTTCTCTTAATATTGATTTTAAAGAATAAGGTGTAAGTAAATGAGATTAAGGACAAATGGGTTGAAATGAAGTGGGTCAAATGATTTTGATCTAGAAATTTTTAAAGGAAAACTATTTACATCTAATTTATATTTTAAAACTAATGATGAAAGCATTTCCCTCTAATAGTTTATGAAAGATTTTGTGAAGTTATTCATAAGTTGAATTTTTGAAAATTATGTTTTTATATGTAACAAATTTTCTAATTTTTAGATTGGTGGCAACTTCCTTTGTACCATGAATAATCAACCTACTGTGTAACTTAGGAATACTCCATAGGACATTAAATTATCTTAAAATAGGGCACACCGATATAATGAAACTACAAAATAAATTTATAGACAACAAATGTATTTCCTAAATAACATTAATGCACTAATGATGGGATTTGTTTTTCACTTCATAATGAGAATTAATCGTGATAAGTGATAGATTAAAAAGTATCAGTGTTTAGTGAGGATTCTCTAGAATGTTACACATTACCTGTTAAATGTGTTATAATATTTTAAAATAATTCAAAGTATACTTTGTTGCTTATTCTTAACTCAGATGTCTCTTAAATGTAATGTGAGATATAGATGAGAAAACTTGCTCTGTAGACTCCTTCCCTCAGCTTAACAAAAGCCACCCATTTTACAGATGATTTAACTTTGATTAACCTACTCCATTGTAACAGATTATTCCGACAACTGGAATTTCGTTCTTTGGTATTATTTCTAGGTGCAGCTTAATTTACAGAACAGCTTTTCTTTCCATCTCACCAAAATACATCACAATTTTGATGTTAACTCAAAGTAAAAATTCAATGGTTCATTAAACCTAGTCTTAGCATTCATTGACAAGAGATTTGTCATTTTAAAAGTAACTGCTAGTTTATGCATTCTTTACTGCTCAGTTTATAACCCTAGATTCCCTGTCAGAGAAAGCATGGAGTTAACCACTTAGCATATTGCAATGAATATTCATCAATAAATTGATGTGACATGGCAGTCCCATTTTTCAGTCTTCTTGCTCTGTTGCATTCTTTTTCTGTTTTAAATATATTATAGTTTATCATGTAATAAGGACTAGCTTAGAAAATTTCCAGAATTATGATACTATATTTTTGATCATGTTAATAGTCATTTAGTAGCTATTGTATTAGTTTTTAATAAGAGAAGTGTATTTGTTCAGAGGAACATTCTCTAATCTGATGTTACTGATGGGCGTTTTCGTCAAATATTTGGTATATATAGATAATTGCCTAAGACCAACTTTATAATAGAAATATTTTTTGTAGTTTTTAAGAACAGATCATTTGTTTTATGTTCCTTGAAATTTTATTTAGCTTAGTCTTTTGACCTATCACAGTTTTTAAATCAGTTTTTAATCCATGTAGTAAGGGAGCTGTGTACATTCACTTTAAAACAAAATCCTGAAAACATGTATCTAAATGGTAAGTCCTCATTCAGCTACAAGTAAACTATATGGGCAAATAGCATAGCAGATGCCGTATAATAGGCAGATATAGATCACTGTCTAACATACTTCATCTACATTTTAAATTTTAAAAGGAAAAGAGTGTCTATAAACAAGATCTTTTCTGTTAAATATGTAGATTATGAGGTCACTTAGCACTAAAGTACTGACCATATGCATTATGACAGGAATTTGACACCTGTCATTGGAAATGGTACTTAGAAGCCGTATAATGCAACAAAGTTGAGGGAGGAAAATACAATGTGGGTAGGAGGCTGTAATTTATAATTCACAGTGCTCAAGAATGACCTGTCCAGGGTATCTCAAAATCCTTCTCTTTGATTTTAGGATTTACATACAGTAAACCCTGCTAGTAAACAAAATTGATTAGGATAGCTAACAGCAGAAAATAGAATATATATATATATATATATATGTATAGATATATATACATATATATATATATTCTCAGACTTCATTTTTAATTGAAGTAAATATATCATTCTAAAAGTCAGCTTCTGAGTTAAAAGTAATTCACCAATTTTATTACATTACACCTGCAGGTGATTTTATGGTAGAATTTCATCCTAATGTTTGAGTAGTACAGTATAGAATTGTTACCAGTTATACTGTTTTCAGATTAATAATCTGTTGTATATGAGAATTCATCTAAAAAGAAGTACTGTCTTTCTGTTTCTCTGTGTGATTATTTTGCCCAAAAAAAGCTTTCATTTTTTTAAGTAGCACAAAAGCTGTAATTGGCATGCTTTGTAAGGAAGTGTCAATGTGCAAGAGAGTGGCGATCACTAAGAATTCTTTTACGTGTTCTTTCCCCTTTGCACCACCGCCTCCTCAGCAGGGTCACTGAGATCACTAGCTTTTCTTGAAATGGCCATTTTCACTGGCAGGTGCATTATACCCTGTATTTTCAGATTGTTTTTCCATTCTGAATGTTTGGCAGGTTGATTGCTCTGGCTGCATTGACGGAGAAAGGGCTGACAAATGCGGTTGGGCTGGCTGAAAAGACAGTGATTACTGTTTTCCTTTGTGGCTGATTGAGGCCCTTGAAAGGAAAAATTTTAACCTTCACCATTTGGTTCAAAAGTATGAGCATATATTGAAATCATTCGTGCCATTTATCCTAGTTCTGTAAACTTGTCAGAACGTAAAAATCGCTCAATTTCAAGTAATGTCGGATTGGCATACGTCATTATCATTTTGATTAAGTTGGAGGTTGTATCATTGTGTGCATTATACAGTGTCATTTAAAGCTTTCTCTCCTACAGGTACAGTTATATTTTTATTGCTTATACTATAGACTTAGAAAGATTTTCATAGCTCTCCAAACCTAACACTATGTGTGTGGTTTGGCAGCTGGTGTGGCCTACAAGCTGCATTTTGTTTGCAGGGTAAAGGCTTATCTGTAGGCCTCCTGGAGTGTGGGTAATTGCACAGGCTCACCATTGGGGAGAGACAGGATTGGAAGCAGCCGAGCGGAAGAATGTTGTGCCATCCCTTTGCCACCTTGCAGCAGAAAGACACAATCCCGGCAGTGCCATCTGGTTGTTGCTATCTTGTCAGCTGGCCTGGCTGCTGGGACCATGACTTGGCAGCTGTTTCCCATCCTTGACCAGTTCTTTTGTGTATGTAGCATGTATGTGTGCTTTAGATAATTTTGAACATAGGTTGGGGAAATGACTATAACTAACAAGTCCCCTTATTGAATAGGCCCTCATTACTTCAGATGCACTGTGCTGTAGACGCCTGCTGCCATTCCCTTATAGACAAATGACACATCTGTTTAGGCAGTGAAAATAACCGTTTTCTCCATAGAAAATCTATCCCAGTATGTAGTGCAGAGTTGTATGTTCTAAAACATTCTAAAGTAAGTGATTTTAAGGTATCTCTTGGTTTGGAGAGGAGATTTAGTAATAAAGTCTTCTTATAAACATTGTATATTATCTCAATATATATTTTTGTTCAAGTTAATAAAACATTATTTTAAGTGCTTATTGCCACATCATGCAACGGTACATAATGAGACTTGCATTTAAAATGACAGAATAGAAAATGTGGTCTCATAGCTATTATCTTTAAAATCTGCCTCTCAAATAGCAACCTGAGAGTTAATGTAAGCCGTCTTTATGCCATATGAAGACCCATTAGACACTGATGGTTTCAGATCACAAGTAAGCAGCCAGCTCTGTAGGCTATTTTAGACATTTGATTTTCTTCATTCTGCAGCATTAATGTGTCAGCATGCTACATAAAACTATGCAGGAGTTACATGTTATTCTGTCTGGAATGATAAATGCTTGCAAGCTTTTAGAGATTTCCATGAGGAATTTATCCTAGTTGCATATATATCTTATTTCAGTTTATGTAGCTACAAAATTTGGAATGACTGTTGGAGGTGCCACATAGGTATGTATAAACACCAAGAAGTTCCACTTATTTCTTTCTTTAAAATTGTGTTGATGAAGTTTGTATCATTTTTACTCATTCTGTCTTATCAGTGGTTTATCTTTAGCTTTTATCTGAAGTTAGATACCTTCTGAACTATTGCTCAGAAGTTCAGTTATTTTCATAGAAATAATTTTTGTGTTACTGCTCTGTGTTTTTAGATGAAGAGGAAGAAGATGACGTAGTGACTCCTAAACCACCTATTGAACCTGAAGAAGAGAAAACTTTAAAGAAAGATGAAGAAAATGATAGTAAAGGTATCTTAAAGAATTTAACTTTAAAAAATTTTGTTGATTCCAATTAAGATTTTTTAAATGATTTATGTGTTAAGGTAGAATAAAATGCTCTAAATCGATGAGGCGAACCTAGTTGGAAAAAAAATGTGTGGCATTCACTGATCCAAACTGTGATAGTGAGTTGACCTGATTTGATGGACATAAATCAGACTTCAGGAAAACATTTGTTTTCCAGCTCCCCCTCATGAGCTGACTGAAGAAGAAAAGCAACAAATCTTACACTCGGAGGAGTTTTTAAGTTTCTTTGACCATTCTACACGAATTGTAGAAAGAGCTCTTTCTGAGCAGATTAACATCTTCTTTGACTACAGCGGAAGAGATTTAGAAGACAAAGAAGGGTAATATTTAATTGCTAAAATTACGGCTTCAGCAATATTACTTTAAGATGACTTAAATTACTTTAAGATCAAGAGTGAGAAGTTATAACACCATCTTTTTTTGGGTTTTATTCTTTTTCTGTAGAGAGATTCAAGCAGGTGCTAAACTGTCATTAAATCGACAATTTTTTGATGAACGTTGGTCAAAACATCGTGTTGTTAGTTGTTTGGATTGGTCATCTCAGGTAAATTGTAACAGAATTGGTTACTGTTAACTCATTTCTGAATTAAAATTAATAGACACTTTTAATTATGGAAATGTAATTAAATCAATATATATCATTTAAGGTAATAATGGATGATGGTTCTAATGTTATCATATTTATTTTATTTTATATACTTTGGAAGAAAGGATTGGAAACATTATTTAAAACTCAAGATTGAATTTATGCCACAACCCAGGTTTACTGATTTCAGTTGCTCACTGAAGCCTTTGGATAAAATTGCAGCATGTTTTAATAAAATGTTTTAACATTAACATTTAACATTTTATTAAATGTTTTAATGTTAAAACATTTTAAATAACTAATTGTAGTAACTTAAAGTTGTGTTAACATCCCATTGAGCATTAACTCTAGAGATATCTCTCTTGGGGAAATGTTAGGTATTTGTATTTGCAAAACAATTGATAAAAACAGTTGAGTAACTAAGAATGTGAGGCAGTTCTTACGCATAGCATTTTTTTTCCCACTTGATTCTTGTGAGCAGTATCCAGAGCTACTCGTGGCTTCCTATAATAACAATGAAGATGCTCCTCACGAGCCGGATGGTGTGGCCCTTGTATGGAATATGAAATACAAAAAAACTACCCCCGAATATGTGTTTCACTGCCAGGTAAGATGGTCTCTTAACAGTCTTCCCTAAGTTTAAGAATTCATTAATGAATTTAGACAAGTGCCTTTTTTCTTTTCTTGTCAACGTGATGATTTCATTGGATTGGCATTTACTAAACCACCCCATATTTGCAAACAGATGTTAACAGAAAACTGAGGACTTCTCAGTTCAACATGATATGCCTTTTGTAGCTTTTCTGACATCTCTTATGTTTAATCACACCTAAAGTCCTTTGCAGTTGTGATTTTCTGTTATTGTGATTGATTGTTTAAAAGGAATCTTTTATAAAATGTCTTTTCTACAGGGAGTTTCTCAGGAACTTATTTGCTGAATATACAATTAGATGGTTGGCCCACTGAATTACTTATACATGGCCTGAGGAATTGGAACTAGATAGTTTTAACTAGAAACATATGTTTGAAGCAGGAAACAGATGCAGATTTTTAAAGTGGGTTTAGTGGAAGGTTAGAATTTGTAAGCCTTTTCTGGTTGCATAAGTTATAATCTTTTAATAATCATAATTCTGAAAAAAATGCTTAACTGAATCACAAATAACTTATACTCTGTTGTCAGATTACTGTTAGAGGCTAATGGAGAGCCAGTTGTCTTTTGATTTAATACTGTAAGCACATGAAATAATTTTTTTGCTTTTTTTTATAAATTGAACACATTTATGCAAATAATCATTACTTTTGACTTTTAAGCAAAAGCTATTCTAAAGGTATATTTTTATATTCCAAAATAAAATGAAAATTTTAAATAAATTTTTTTATAATCTCTAATACCTTATAATAAAAGGGAAGATGTTTTGGATATAGAATTATTTTTATAACAAGCTTCTTCCATTTGAACCTTAAGTATAAAAATCTTACTTATTTATAGTCAGCTGTGATGTCTGCTACGTTTGCAAAATTTCATCCAAATCTGGTTGTTGGTGGTACATATTCAGGCCAAATTGTGCTGTGGGATAACCGTAGCAATAAAAGAACTCCAGTGCAGAGAACTCCGCTGTCAGCTGCTGCACACACAGTAAGTAAAGAGCTTATTTCCACTAGACTCCTGTGCTGTTTCGCCATTAAATACTTAGTAGTGTCCATCAGAGTAGTCTTGGAATGTGTTTCCTTTGATGTATGAGTTCCTTATCTAGCCACCAAGAATGAAGGCAGGTTTTTTTTTTTTTTGTATTTTTGGAAATCTGTTTTATTAGAAACTCTTCTATCTTCTGAGACAACATTTTGTTTATCAACAGAATAGCATCAAACTTCACATTAAAAATATCATCAAGATAGGAGACTGTTTTGATGTGAAACAGAATACTTGTGATTATAGTGTAAAAACAGTTTCATTTCTTTGGTAAAATAATCCCAGAAAACTTCTTTTAACATCTTTCTTTAGCATCCTGTATATTGTGTAAATGTTGTTGGAACACAAAATGCTCACAATCTGATTAGCATATCTACTGATGGAAAAATTTGTTCATGGAGTCTGGACATGCTTTCCCATCCACAGGTAGGTTAAACTTGGAAAACTGAAATTTTGAGACAAGTGTTATTTTTTAAGTCTGTACTGATCCCAGCTTATGTTTTTCATAAATGTTTTATAATAGTATTATAAGTTTATAAACTAAACATGTATTAAGTATAGTTGTATGTATACTTTATTTTCAAACCCGCGTCGTTTAAAGTACATTTCTGTAAGTATTATAGTAAAAGAATTGCTTTTAAACCGATTAAACTAGAAAATTAGAAATTGCAGGTTTATCATTTCCTCAATTTTCTTCTATGTAGGATAGCATGGAATTGGTTCATAAACAGTCAAAGGCAGTAGCTGTGACATCTATGTCCTTCCCTGTTGGAGATGTCAACAACTTTGTTGTTGGGAGTGAAGAAGGTTCCGTGTACACAGCATGCCGCCATGGCAGGTAAATCTAAACTGGAATTTGTAGTTATTTAAATGTCTCCCTTTAATAATATCATTAAAACAAGCTGCCCCCTGTTTAAGTAGAAATTTGTCAGAGAGCCACTCATTATTTTTGACAAATTATATTTGAGTTCAGATATATAATATTAAAACTTACATACTTTTTAAAATAAAAGGTTATTTGGGATTATGATGTGTTCTGGATCTTAAGGATTGTAATGTGTTTTTGTATGTGTGCATGTGCTCACAGAAGTTAGCGGTAGGAAGTAGCTTTCAGCAATTGGAAATACAATATGCCCGTGCCACATACTGACCCTTACAGTTGTAAATAAAATTTTCAGCCATTTTCCCATTTGATTTATTTGTACTTTGAGCTTTGGTTCATCTTCCTGATAATTGTATTATAATTGTATTGTAATGTCATGTACATATTTTAAATTGACTGGTATGTCTTCTGCTGTGCAGTTTGTTTTGAAAGTGTCTAGCTGTACCTTATCAGTTGCTTCCTTAAAAAAAATGGTGTCTAGGTTTCATCTCAAATACAGATGACCTTCACTTCAAAGCTTTTGATACAAAAGTACCCCGGATTTTCTGTCTTACGTATAGCATCCCTTTGTCTCTATTCCACCACCTTAGATATTGAAGTCATGAGTTCTGCTGTCAACAGCATATATTTATGGTTCAACATGTACCAACTGCTTTAGTAGTGTTTTCAAATCTGAATAGTTTTTACACTCAACATAAGTTACTCTGATGTGTTATGAACAGAATTAGGTTTGTTGAAATTATGTTAGTCTGACGTATAATCCTTAATAAGATGTATTTATAAGTGGTCTACTTACAAGAGATTTCCCTAACATTTTCACTCTTATGAAATAGCAAAGCTGGAATCAGTGAGATGTTTGAGGGACATCAAGGACCAATCACTGGTATCCATTGTCATGCAGCTGTTGGAGCAGTGGACTTCTCACATCTTTTTGTCACTTCATCATTTGACTGGACAGTAAAACTTTGGACAACTAAGGTATCTAAAAACTAAGGTATCAAGGCTCATTTGCTCAGGTTTCTGACACAAGGTGGTGCTCTAATTCTACATGGGAAAGATGAAAAGCTTTCTAGTAGCTTAGAATGATTCACTGATAGATGAAACCGGATAAGTTATACTGAACATGAGTGAGCTACTAGATGTTCTAGTGTTCATAAGTGTACTGGCAAATACATTAACCCACACACAATCAAAGACCAATTTTCCCACTTAAGGCTTTTTAGGCACAGAACTGTTTATCCTGAACTGAGTTGGGGAAGAAGCACTTGAGTATCTCTCATAGCACCTTACATAGCTGTGTATAGCCTGGCACAAAAGCCATCTATTTACTCTTGGGAGAGCTTTCTGGAGGCTGCAGTAGCTCACAGAGCTGTTAGAAAAACGGAGAAAACACAACTAACTGACATACAGTAAATCCTATAAAATAAGACTATACAGGGGCGCCTGGGTGGCTCAGTCAGTTAAGCGTCCGACTTCGGCTCAGGTCATGATCTCACGTCCTGTGAGTTCGAGCCCTGCGTCGGGCTCTGTGCTGACAGCTCAGAGCCTGGAGCCTGCTTCAGATTCTGTGTCTCCCTCTCTCTCTCTGACCCTCCCCCGTTAATGCTCTGTCTCTCTCTGTTTAAAAAATAAATAAACATTAAAAAAATTTAAGAAAAAATAAGACTATACATAACAAACTTGAATCATTAAAGAAGTATTGTGTGAAGAAGGCATGGATGAATATATATTTTTGTTTTCCACAATAAACACTTTAAATTGTTTTGGTTTTAATAAGCTTCAGTTTTTTAAAAAAAAAACCCACTGTGTTATTAAGTGCTTCCTAATCCTCTAGCAATTCCAGATAAATGTGACATCGCCCTGCTTCAGTGAAAGTCTCAAGGCAAATCCAAGTAAGGAATGTTACTTTTTGTGATAAGCCTTCTAGTTTCCTTTAACCCCATATTTAAAAAAAAATTTTTTTTATTATTTAATGTTTATTTTTGAGAAAGACAGCGTGATTGGGGGAGGGGCAGAGAGAGGGAGACACAGAATCCAAAGCAGGCTCCAGGCTCTGAGCTGTCAGCACAGAGCCCGACATGGGGCTTGAACCCACAAACTGTGAGATCATGATCTGAGCTGAAGTTGGACACTCAACCTACTGAGCCACCCAGGCGTCCCTCATTTGCCCCATGTTAAAACTAAGAAGTCTTGACTTTGCTATCTTTCTTTTCTGCAATATTACATTGTAGTTGGCAAAGCTGCACAATCAGAATATCAGATTCTACTTAAATCAAGTTAAATTTTAAGCTGTATTTTTCTCATGTTTCTATTTGCCTTATTCTAAATGTTGACACTTTGAATAGTTTATTATGAGACAGAGTTTAGAGATCTTACTTTGTTCTTCAGTTTCTTTGAGGAAACCTAGTGGTCTTAAGAAATGTTCTTTATTGTTAACAGTGAACTCATGTTTATATGTCAAATGCTGGCCTCAGAAAGCTGGGAAGGATTCACTGTTCACTCTTGTTCTTTCATGATGCTTTCTTTCAGTGTAAAATATGAAGTGAGTTAGAAAATTTTGCCTCTAAAAGCTTGCCTTTTAAATTTGAGCATTTTCTTGTTTGGCATTAACGAGTATAAAAATAGCACTTAAGGCTAATGAAGGAAACTTATAGAAAGGTACATAACACAGTGTCTAGCATGTAATAGGCACCTAGCACTGTTTAGTTTCTCTCCCCTTCATGAGGATCAGACAGAGCCTGAATGCTTTTAGTCAATCATTTGTTCGCTTTCTTGGGTTGTTCTTAAAAAAAAAATTTTTAATGAGATTTTTCAGTGGAAAAAGGTAGAGGAAGAAGAAGGTTCTTACAACCACAAGCAAAGAAATACATAGTTTAGCTAGTAAAACCAAAGCAAGATGCAGAATTGGAGAGATGAGGCCAATTATTTCAGTATAGGCTGCAGGCAGCTGTATAAGAAGCTAGATTTCTTAATGTGTTTTCACCTGAGTAGTCCTTTGTATAGACACAGGAGACATCACATCTTTGTTAGGTTGTTGCCCAGCTTCCTTTTTCAGTAATTGAAAAGAATCTTTTATAGATTTGTAGATTTAAATATTTCACAGGGCTTCAGTTGCCAGGTTTTTAGCTTTAAACTTAACAGCAGGACTGGGGGCGCCTGGGTGGCTTAGTCAGTTAAGTGTGCGACTCAATTTCAGTTCATGAGTTCAAGCCCCACATCGGGCTCTGGGCTGGCAGCACAGAGCCTGCTTGGGATTTTCTGTCTCTCTTCTTCTCCCCCTCTCATGCTGTCTTTGTCTCTCAGAAAATAAATAAACTTAAAACAAATTTTTTAAACTTAACAGCAGGACTGGAAAATGAAGAATTGCTCTTCATTGCCTAAACAAGAACAGAACGTATGTCTGTGATAGCAGACTGATTGATGCTTGCTTTTGTGGTGTTACACAGCTGGTTGATTGGTGGTTGGTATTTTTTGTTCTAGTATTTTGCTGTATTTCAACATAGAACTGCCTTCTGAATAAGAATGACAGGCAGGCATGTCGGTTTCTTTGCTAATTGAGCTAGGCATTGCTTCCTTCTGTGAGCTTCATTTATTCATTCATCTGTGATACATATGTCTCCCCCACCCACATACATATGTACATACCTCTCCAGTATTAGTGACCAAAAGACTAGCCCACATTGAACAGGGTGTTTTTATACATGCTCATGGGCCCTCTAAAACTTTACAGAAAAGTTATCTTTTATTCTAACTTTTCTACACACAACTAATTCTAGTCTATGAAGAATAGAACAGCAACAATCTGAATAAATATTTTTTTATTTGATCATATCATGGCTTCCAGTATTCTTGTTTTGATCTTGGATTTATACTTCGTGATTAATTATATTATTGGTATTTACTGTCTGCCCTGTCAAAAAACCTGATAGAGCCTCTGTGCTCTCCAACACAATAGTTATAAATAATAGACAAGGTTTCTAAATAATCTCCTTAAAAACATTGTTCCAGTTCCATTTTAAGCTTTTAAACCAGTATCTTCACATTCATGAATTTAACAAACTTTAAATGTTTTTCTTCTCTGCCTTGTAAGTCTGTTAAAAAAATCCCAGAAATCTCAATTTGACACTGCCTGAAATTTAGCTTAAAGTAAGCTACTTCTGGGGCACCTGGGTGGCTTAGTCTGTTAAGCGTCCAACTCTCAGGTCATGATCTCATGGTTCGTGGGTTCAAGCCCCGTGTTGGGCTCCATGTGTTCAGTGCGAAGCCTGCTTGGGATTCTCCCTCTCTCTCTCTCTCTCTCCCTGTCTGCCCTGCCCCTGTGCACGCACTCTCTCTCTCAAAATAAATAATAAATTTTTTTAAAAGTTCAAAAAAATAAATAAATAAACTATTTCTGTAGTCAGCTTCTGATTTTTGCCTGGTCAGGAATTTATAAGGCAGCAATAGTTCTGGGTCATCAAATTGTTTTCATGACTTTTTTTTTAATTCAGTTATTTTTAGTAAAGAAGATAAACAGAGGGAGATGATTTTCCACGTTTTGGTGAGGTTTATACCAACCAAGACATTGCTTCTAATATATTTGGAAGACACTATTACCTTTTCAAAATGCCAAATTTGAAAGTTTACAACAGAAGTATTTGGCAGCCCTGAAAAATTGTGGGAAGAATGTGTGAGGAATGAAACTTCTTGAAGGTAACCAGAGGATTCCATAAGAGCTCAATTTAGGGGTAGACCTGGTAAATTAGCTTAATATTCTACCACATCTAACCATACTTGTTACATAATCACTCTTAAAATATAAGAATTACTTATTTGGGGGCCAAAATGTTTTCATGTATGCACAGTATATTCTAACCTCAGAACAAATGCCTGTCAGAATTGTATTTACCAGTCATGGTTAAAATTATTAATGTGGGTAATTTCTTAGAATAGGTAGTTTTCAGACTTCGATAGTCCATCTACACCTTGAATTTTCACAATCTCTGATGTCTTAAATCCTCTTTTCTATTTTAACAGCTTAATTATTTAACTCTCAGAGAATACCAGCCTTAAAATGGGGTTAAAGAGATTTTCCTAATGCTTGGAATAGCAACTGTGCACATGTTGAACAAGTTCAAATGAAAAAATGCTTTGAATTTGGATTGTTTCTTGGGGAAGGCTGTCCGACCATTAGGACCAGTCCTCCATGTTAGCATTACTGTAGTAACTTGCTACTAGCCAGTGTCCAGCCTGCCCTTTGCATATTCAGAAACTTAGTCTTGTCAGTCTGCTAGAGTTGATTAGCCAGGGAGTGCTGACTGGAACTAACAAGCTTCTAAGACGCTGACATGGAGAGGATCAATTTATTAATTTACCAATGAGAAACGATTGCCAGAAGGCCCAGAGATGCTCATGCTGGCCTGACCAGCTCATTGTTTCCCTGTAGACAACCCACGTGGGAAGCCAAATTATAATCAGAAGATTGCTTAGTGAGCAAGGAATTGGAACAAAAGAAGTTTTCTAATTTGAATGTTTAATGGCATCAAGCAAAGATAGTGTGATTCATTCATTTTCATAGAGAGATAGCCTTGCCATGGGTGGTAATTTTTAGAATCCATTAGCTGAGATTCTCTCCTGGACAATTGGGTACTGTCTTCATTTTTCTTTTAAGACTCTACTTTGTATTTCCATTGCTTTTAATAGACATTCCTTCTCAAAAAGTTTGTATCTTCAATAAGGCTATATAGGAAGATGTTTCTGATCCTGGAATTATTTGTTTTTAAAGAGATTTTATTTCTCTTCTCATCCAAGTGAGGGCATACTTACTCAGTTCTCTGGAGAGCACTTATTTGTTATGTTCATAGATTTACTATAGGGACACTTCTGGTTATTAAGCTAGAACTCTCTCTATAGAAAAATATAGAATTACTATATTAGTTTCCTAAGGCTGCTGAAACAAATTGCCACAAACTGGGTGGCTTAAAACAACAGAAATTTAT